AAAAAAAAACAAAAAAAAAACAAACCAAGAAGACAATCAGGGCGGGGATTCATTTTTTCGTGTCCTCAGACTATAAATGAAAAAAAAGCTCACATCACTGAGAGGAACGATGAGGGAAGCGTCTCTGCGATGTCTGCTTAGTAAGTAAAACATATCTTTAAGTTGCCTAAAGCTTATTTTTACAGACTTTTAGTCACTGATTGATGATGAAGATGAAAGAAACTAACGTGAAAATCAGGTTAAACTGAATTACAAACAGTTTTAAAACACAGGCCTTAACCCCAGACCTGTACAAAAAAAACAGGCTGTGGAAAACTTCTGTAATTTAGTGTTTTATTTAAAGAACTGTACAGTGAATATACATTTATTTTTATTTTATTTTAATGTTGCAAAATGTATAATTCATTTATAATAGGAAATCTTAGTAATTGATTCTGTACTCTAAAATAAAAGTCATACTGCATTTGAGACACAGTTACTAAAACAGAACTCACATCCACATTTCCGTATTTATGGATGTTTTTAAATGTTCAGAAGAAAGATAAACAGTTATTCACGTGCCTGACAGCTAGAGGTCGCTTAATTTCAAAACATACGTTTGGTCATGAAATCTGCTCAGTAAGTAAAAGACCTCTTTAAGTTACCTAAAGTTTATTTTTATAGTTTTTTTGGTTGCTGATTGATGATGGATGAAAGAAAACGACATGAACAACAAGTGAAATAGAATTCAAAGCAAGTTTAATACACAAAGAAGATGCATTTCAGCTGTATGAAGGAAGTTTGAGCATCTTAACACCAAAAAACAGGTTGTGAAAATCTTCAGTTTTTCAGGCAATTTAGTGATTTTGAAATAAGAACTGTAAATGATAAATATTGCCTGTTTATTAACAATCCATAAATACCTCCCTCCCCAGATTAAGATAACAGTGTTTCAGCACGACTCAGCTCAGAACAAGACACATTAAAATGTCTACAAACATAAACAGCATTCATTAATTCCACTAGTGGGATTTGTCTCGGCATGAGAGCAAAATTCATCTTTTGCCATTTTACAATATTGTGATTGCAGCCATTCCCCTACTCTCTATAAATGGTACTCATGGCCATTGGTCAGTGGTTGTTGACCTGGTTGTTGACTGAAACCAGCCCATTGTTCCTTCGGTGGGCTGGTTTCAGTCATTATGCAAATATCCTGTTTATAAGATTTGGGGAAACCTGCAGTCAGCTGAGACTGAAGAAGTCACTTGGATGAGTGACGAAATGTTTCTCTCACTGAGAACGCTACATCCAGATGAACTGAATCAACTTTTGAAGTTTAATGTAGTTTATTTCTGTCATTGTTCTGTGTTTAGGTTTGTGGATGTGATTCATATCTGACTGCAATCATCACATTTGACAAATCACAAGTTTCACTATTTTGACATGAAGCATAAATCATACTTTAGAGGAACATTTTACTCAACACTAACGCCACAGAATCTCTTCTCTTTATAGGACACAGCAGTACTGGATAAAATATGACTTATCACTTGATTGTTTGACTGATTGATGAAGAATTGATTTGTTTGTGAAAGCTCAAACCAACCTTTTCTCTTTAGTTTTGATCTCATTGCCGAGCTGCACAACAAACCAAGGTCAGTAACCTTCTTTAATAAACTCCACACAGAAAGGTTGTGGTCCAATGGTGGATTCAAATCCAGGGCTTTCTCGCTTTGAGGCAGCAGTGCTAACCACTTAAAGCTTTATTATTATTACAATCTGTGGGTTTTTAATTATGTTAGTTTTGATAATGATAAAAATAATCATAATTTTTCAATTGTAACCCTCACAGCTCGTCTGACTGTGAGTCCCAGCAGCTCTCAGTTCTTTAAAGGAGACTTTGTGTCTCTGAGCTGTGAGGAGGACGACAGCTCTGCTGGATGGACTCTGAGGAGAAACACGACAACAGACACCAGAACTGAGTGTGAGGAGTGGGGAGAAGGTGCTGGTTCTTCATGTAACATCAGCTACAT